ATTAATGTCTGCCAATCCCTGGAGACTAGTCACATGCCTACATTTACATGTGTGTTTTTAAGGGTTTGCTATATTGGGGCCTGGAAGAATTGCATGCTGGCTGAAACTGAAGGACTCAGAACTGGACCAAATAAATCCCTTGTCTAGACCAAATAAATCCATTCTCCACTGAAATGAATGGAATTAAATCAGGGACGAATTTGTCCTCCTTACTATTTCATTTTCCCTGCCTCCCAAAGTGTGAAAACATGTGCTGCGCTGTGAGTATAAATGTAGACACAATACGCTCTTATGTTACACAGCCAGTGAGGTGGTTTAGTGACATGGAGTCCTCAGTTTCAGTAAGATTACTCTTATGTCCATAGTTTTGCATTGCTCACCTTTTAATTGCAGCATGCAAGCCTTCTGTAAGAGCTGCAACTGTGCTGTGGGCAAACACAACATTTCTCTCTGAAGCTCAGCTTCTTCAGATGAGCTAGTTGTTGAACTTCATAGGAAATAATGACTTCCCTATCCACTACCTTTTGTAAAGGGACAAGGTTCCTATAATATTTCTCTCTCCCATGAAGAAAATGAGAGGTAGTAAGTCATGTTAGTGTGTAGTAAGGCAGGATGCCATGAAGATGGGAAAGCACCTCCTTTGGCCCTGTTTTCTTAGAGCACTTGATTAATGCCCCTCTCTCTGGCTAGGGACAGACATTACACACAAACTGGTTTAAATAATCAGAAAGTGGTTTAAACCTGTAACAGAACAGACATTCAGGGCACATAAAACAGTTTGAAAATGGCTGAAACTGGTTTGAGATAACCCTGGTTGAATATAGTGTCAGACTTAACTGATGTGGCTCAAACTGGTTTATGCAATATCTGTCCCAGACACCTTCCTTGCTGGTTTAAGATAAACCAGACTCCCCCGGCATCTCAGCATGCTCTCTGGGTTGGGTGGGGCTCTCTGCTCCACAGCAGAGCTGCCCCCTCCTCTCTGCTCCCTGGTTGGAGCTCCAGCAGAGACTAGCAGGCACAGCAGGGTCTGTTGGCTTCCCCATACTCCACCCCGCACCACCACCACAACTTGCTGCTTAAGCAGAGATCCGTCCCTCTGCTCTCCCACAGCATGGACCTAGCCAGCATATAGTATGCTAGCTAATGCTGTGTAAGACCAATAGAAAAGTGTCAATTTAGGGCTTTTTAGAGCTAATAAACATCCCAGCTGGTAATGTCCCTGCATTCCTTCCTTTGGAAAAGGCTGTTTAAGAAGAGCTTGAAATAATGGCATGCAAGGCTTTGTTTTCTGATGGGGTGCTAATTGCTGATAACACAGCTGATAAATGCTCTGTTATCAAGGAGGGGGGAGAACCCTAAGTTGTTCCAGGGCCTGGCCATGCCCCCCTCAGCTCAGTACTGTGCAAGGGAAAGGAGGGCTGCTGTAGCACCCCCCACCTTCCCCTGGCTTCTAGCTTCAGCCACTGCAGGCATGTGCCAGCATTTTTTTCAGTCCAGAGGGGATGTCTGTGCAGTTACAAAGTGATTTAGCCTAGTCAGGTTAGACTAACCTGCAAAAATTGAATCGATTCAGGCTCAGGCTTTTTGAATGTCTGTCTCTAGCCTTTGTGATTCTGGTCAGAGCCAGCCTTAGGAAAAATGGCACCCCAGGCAATCTTGTATTTTGACATCCCTCTGGCATGCCACATGAGTCACCAGTGCTGTGTGTTTGGGGGCGGGGAGGGCGGTGTTTGTATGTATGGGAGGTATGGGGTGTGGGAGGCAGGTGATGAGCACATGTGCCTCAGCAGCTGTGGATGACAGAAGACCCTTCAGGGAAGTGCTTGTCCAAACACCTGAGATGCTGGTCTGGTGCCAGGTGGCAGGGACAGGGAGCAGTGGGAGCTCAAAGCAAGGAAACAGGAAGGGCAGGCAGGTGGGCAGCAGGCAAGGCTGCCTGGAAAGGAAACCCAGCACTACTTCCTGGCTGCCCTTGCCCTCGCCCTTGCCCTCACCCTCACTCTTGCCCTAAGAAGTGCTGGCAGTGACTGGAGTGGGGCTACAACTCAGCCTCCAACCCCAGTAGTTCAGTAATATCAAAGTACTTGGCGCACAAGCTGGTGCTGCCCAGCCACACTGCCTTCTTGCTGGCCACCTTGCCCTTGGCCCAGCCCACCCCACCCTCCTCTGAGCCTGTCATACTGCCCAGCAGCACCCGCCACTGCTGCTGCTGACACCCAAGGGCTTGTTATCTGACTGTCCTGGCTGGTCATCTCCAATCAGCTCCAGATTAGTTGCCACTGAAGTCTCCCACAGCTCCTGCCCCACATGAGTGATGGGGCAAGGTATGTGTGTGGATGTGTGTGGTGCCCCCCAGACCACAGCACCCTGGGCAGTTGCCCACACTGTCCGCCCTTAAGGCCGGCTCTGATTCTGCTGTGCATTTGTTATATTAATGCAGGTGGTCCATATTTCTATAAGATGAAAATTCTTACTGTGCCCAGAACCAGCACAAGACCCATGACTCATTTGAATCCCACTTAAACCTCATTTAAAGCAGTGTCCTGGGACTTGAATGGTACCTAGGCTCTGTGCTGAATTTACATGAGGGTAAATTCACCATTAATGATCATATATGGAAAATATTAAATTATAGATATTATAGAATACAAACAGCTATGGGTTCTTCTCCCTTAACTAATGTATAGTTAAAAATTGGCTTTGATCAGATTTTGTTTTGAAATAAATGTTGGATGGGTTTTAGAAGAACTTCTGTGTTAGTGTCTTCTAGGTGAATTTATCCCCACACCATCCCTGTGAGCAAGGTACGGAAGTGCTGTTATGCCCATTTTACAGGTGAGGAGCCAGGGCACACAGAGAGGGTCAGACCCACAGAGGTATTTAGTCATATAACTCCCATGAGTGAGTTGCCCAGTGGCACAGGAAAAGTCTGTGGCATAGCATGAAATTAAACTCTGTGCTCCCAAATCACTACCTCCTGCCCTAACCACTGAGTCTTTCATCTAGGTACTAAGGCATTTACATGGCTCCAAGTTTCCTCAATGCCTTAAAGCTGTAGGAAAGCAGAAGGCTATTCTTATACACAATATTTCTCTGTGTGTTCTCCCAATTAACATTCCAGCAAAGTAGGAATGTTCTGCCGTGCCATCCGAGGCAGGGAACTTCAAAGTGAAAGCTTATCCAAGGGATGCACAAAGTGACCGTGCTTAGAGAGTGCTCCAGGCTACTCGCAGAGAGCTGAGTGCACCTCTGGGCCTGGATTTATATGCAAGAGGAATGGATTCCCTCAAAGGAGAAGATGTAGAGCAGCTGATGCTTCCTACCCTCCCCAAATAGAGATTAAAGGAAAGCAAAATAGGTCTATAGTCTTTTTATATCCTTTGGTACAATATGGGCATGTCTACACATGCCCCTATGATTTCATTATTACTGCACTGTCATTTAGTACTTCCTTTTGGAAGTACTAAATGATGGCGCAGTAATAGCCCATGCTGCACCATGCTGGCAGTGCGTGGTTATTTTTAGCCGCTACATCGCCGTAGCAGCAGGCTGTAATGAGGGAGCGTGTTGTTATGGTGAAGTAGCTGCAGCATCACAGTTTTTTTCCCACTGATGCTACATTGCTGTAGTGAATTGCTACAGCATCATAGCATCATGTGTAGATGCATCCTGTGTGCCCCAGTCTGCTCCCCTAAATGGGATGCATGTAGAAATGAATGCTCCATTCAACTTCCCCACTGCTGATCAGTGTGATCCTAACACCCTGATGAATAAATTTGGGGGTGGCAGTATTATCTTTTTCACACTAGAATTTTTTTTTAATAGCTGCAAAGGGATTTGGGATGTTGATTTTCACGAGCAGTTTATTCTTCATTCAGTAATTGCTGTCAATGGGCTTTACTTTCATAATGTCAAAGGCAGCTGTGGTCGCAGAATTTTTCTTAAAAATGTCTCTTAATTTTTTTATTGTTGTGATCCATTGGCTGTCTAGGTTCCATGGTATAGGAGAGATGTCTTAGTCAGCTGTCTGGCTAGACCTGGCTGTTAGCCTTTAAAGATGTTCTGAGGCCCTTGCTACATGTTTCATATATTATGCAATTAACTGGTTAATCATGCGATAAATTTAGACCAGCCACATATGCCAGGTAATTATCCCATGGCAAAAATGACTATCCTGCTATAAGGAGAGCCAACAGCTACAAAATTAGTGCTTGAAAATGTGTAACAACTCAATAGCTGGTTTCTATCCAGCTTTAATTTGAGCATGTAGCAAGTTTGAAATACTGTATAATAAGTTTGGAAAACAGTACACTTCACACAAGCAAAAGGCAAAGAGACTAGGGGCCTGATGTTAGAATCAGGACTGTTTCCATGATGCCCATGTAAAACTGGTGTAATTGGAGGGGAAGGTCCTGTTGCTTTCCTCAGTCTTCCAAATATCAAGAAACTCAGCTGCCTCTGTCCAAGATTGAACACATGTACACAGCTACACACAAATACATGTATGCACACACACATACACCCTCCCCCATATTGTGGGCAAGTTTAAATTTGCATCCAAACTGTTTTCCCATCTGTTCTTGTTAGCTATTACAAGGCCATTCTCTGGAGTGGGGTATTCTGGCTGCTGTACCAGCTGTGTATGTTGTAATGAGGTTGGTTAGAATGTAACTCACTGAAGCAGCAAGAACTAATCACTGTATATTGATAAGAGATTTTCAGCACCTTCTATGGAGAGTGCTGCAGTAATCTTCTGGGTGTGTGTGTGGCAGGAGGGGGTGGAGGGAATTGTGTCTGTACATGTGTGGTAGTAAAATTACTCATTAACTGCAGTAGGTCTCATTATCTAAGGGAAGCACATCAATGATTCACTTCTTAACAGGGTGTTTGGAAATGCTTGTTTATATTCAGAAAGCAGCCTGTAGTTGTATCTGATGCAGTCCATGAGCACCTGCCCTGGATAAAGGAATCATAACAGACTCCCTTTAACTCCCTAGGTATTGGAACTCCCTGAGTAACCTCGTAGCTTCATTGCTGAACTCTGTCCGCTCCATCGCCTCCTTGTTGCTGCTTCTCTTCCTCTTCATCATTATCTTCTCACTCCTGGGAATGCAGCTCTTTGGGGGCAAGTTTAACTTCGATGAGATGCAAACCAGGAGGAGCACATTTGACAACTTCCCCCAGTCTCTCCTCACTGTGTTTCAGGTAAAGGTCACAATACTTCTGGCTTGGCAGAAAAATCCATGCTTGTGTCTGCTTCCCATTGTGGACAATCTTTCCAGTGCAGGCTAGGATGCTTGAAGCTAGAGACTGAAGTAGACTGCTACAGTTAGAGACTAATAGCAGAAAGCTCTGCAATCACTAAGATGGTATTCAAAATTAGGAGCTGAGCTGCGTTCCAACATAGAAGAAGCAATCTGGACCAAGCTGGGTAGAACCAGAGAATGAGCACTGACCATATCTCAGACCAGCACCTCCATCCTGAAGCTGATTAAATCACAGAGGGCATGTGTACATGTGTGCTTTAATGCGCAGTAGCCTATTCTACTGTGTATTAAAGCATCATGTCAAAAACAGTGCTAATACACTGTCTACTAATATTAGTCTACTGCACATTAAGCTTCACTAAAACGACGTTCACTTGTGCTACTGTGCATGAGGGCAGCCTAATGCATCTTTATGTAGTACTTCATATTAGAGATACTAAAGTTAACACGCAATAGCAAAAGTGCATTAATGAATGTGTAGACACACCCAGGGTGGCACAGCATTAGTGCTTTTAAGTAACAAAGTGAAGCTGGGCTTGGAGGTACTGAAGGATCAAAAACACCCAAATGGTTCTTGAACACGTGAATGCTGAGTAAAGTCTTGTTAGTGTTCACATAGGAATAATAATATTGTTAGCTCAAGTACAAGGTGAGTGGAAGTCTGCTATACAAAGGTATACCTAATGTGATGTGGTAGCATGGATGACTGGTGCCTCCTGAAACTGGGGGCACTAGTTGCCGATTGCCGACCAGGGAGGGGTCTCCTAGCAGCCAATTGCCACCTCCAGCAGAAGTGCTTGTGGCAAACCCAGATGTGCCACTGGTGCTTCTCTCAGCCCCCCCACAATCTCAGGGGGGGCATTGGCTGGCACTTTGCTCAGTGCCCCCACTCTCCAGCCAGCAAGGGCCAATCTTGGGGGGGGGCATGTGCCCCCCTCCCCATGGCCTCCCTAAGCATCGCCTATGTGTGGTAGCATGCTCTGTTCTATTTCTCTCAGTTCAGCAGATGCAAATAGGTACTTATGGGAAATAATATGCAAGTAGCTGTGAAACATAAGCAGAACTGGATAGGATATCTGCATGGCTTCTGGGGAATCACTGTGACATCTGAACAGCTAGAGCACAGGTCCTGTCATTCTCTTTGTTGTCTCAGAGTATCTTGGGGAGTTTCTAGGGGATAAGTTGGTGTATCTTTGTTAAAATGGGGTTTTCAAATTTGTTGTGTGGTCTAACACTGTGTCCCTTATTGGTGGGAATGTATCACTTAGATCCTGACTGGGGAGGACTGGAATTCAGTGATGTATGATGGGATCATGGCTTATGGCGGCCCCTCTTTTCCGGGAATGTTGGTCTGTATTTACTTCATCATCCTTTTCATCTGTGGAAACTGTATCCTTTGATGCTACCTTTACTCCAAGTAGAGCTAAATTTAAAACCACCTTTAACTACATTGTTATGTCAGCAGAATATGAATTTCACAATTCTTGACTTAGCAATTTAGCTGGGTCTGAATTTTGGCTTCTCACAGCTAAAAATCAAACCTGTCTAATTAATATTAGCTGATGTTAAGACTTTAAAAAAAACACAAAAAACCATAACAGCAGGATAAGGCCAAGCTAGCAAAAAACATGCCAGCTACATTTTTGCTTTGCCTTTATTCCATCATCCTCTTTTCAACAGACCCTTTATCCCCATGCTGCTCAGAAATTAACATGTAGCAACCAGGTGTACTTACATTGTACTTTTGTGTTTTTATTGACTTTGCAGTAACTTATTCCATATGTTATAATTTGTTCTGTGGGTGGAACAAAGATGCATGTAATTTACAGTATACCATATACAAATGCTAGAGAACTTACATATATTTTACAAATTAGATTGATGCAAGATCCTATATTAATTCATAATAAACTAATATTATCCTCTTTCTTCTGTTAAAGCTAATTTGTCTCACATATATAAAAAACTGCTTGCCCTGTTCCTTTGTGCCTGAGCTGAAGCTAAACATGCAGACTTCAGAAAGGGAGGGCACTGAGTGAATTCCACTAGGTATTCAGTGCATTGCTTGGTGTGGGGCTCTGCCTGTATGTTATTTCACATAGGCATGTGCGAAGTAGAGCTATGGTTCATTCCAGTTCCCTATTTTCTCCTAGCTCCTTCATGTTTACTTTATGTTCTGCTAATGGATGGCCCCTTCAGCAGCTATAGCATATTTTGTAAGCTGATGCTTAGTCTCAGGTCAGCTCCTTTGAACTTTCCCTATAATGTAGGTCTTTCAAACCCTGGTATCTGACCCCTGTGCTGCCCTCTCTACAAAATGCAATCCCACCTCTCTAAAAGCTAAGGGAGACAGCTTGCCTGGCAGTCTAGAAAAAGATTGCAATTCTGGTCGCTCATGAACAGTGAAGAGGATAGTCACCTCTACACACCAGCTGGCTTTAGAAGGTTGCATCTTGGGCTTTGGACCCCAGAGCATGGTGGCAATCCAGGGAAGGGATCTCTATTTTGATAGCTTAGGCTTTTAACTGCCCTTCAGTTAAAAAGGATTATGCTTCCAAAAGGACTCTTTCAGCCCTGCTTCTCTGACTATGATTCTATGACCTGCACCCAGGAAATTAATAAAAGAAGCTAAAATTCCATTCTGTAGAGCAAGGTTGTCTGAATCACAGGCAACCTAGGAACAATGGAAAGGGGTAGAGCTTTTTTGGCTTTTCCATTCAGCCCCTTCAGGCTGTTGTAGTGCTGTTGGTTTACACCAAATGCCATATATGCATGGACCTGTGCTGGGTGTTGGCAGAGATGGCAACCAATCCCTTCAGCACTCAGCTCTAATGAATTTCTCTTTGTTCCCCTTAGACCAAGTGACAATGACACTGCTAATGACAATGCTATATGCAATGTCAAATATGCCCAGTCCAACCTCTGGGGATACCTGTAATGAGGTTGTTCAATTCAAGCACATAGGCTAAAATTTGAAAACCCAAGTGCCTAGTTATAAGGTTCTTGAGTGCATATACTTAGGCACTTAAAACTGGCCTGATTTATCAACTGTGCAAATACTTGCAGTTCCCATTATTTTCTGGGCAATTTATGGATACTCAGATATTTTTACTCACAGGCTACTTTTACTAAGTGCTTCAGTGTGGATTTAAATACCTAACTTGCTCAGATCTGAACATTTTGGAAGCCCAGTATGCTGCCATCGCATTACTTTGCCTAAGAGCATGTGTGCTAAACAAACTCTAGTCTGTGTGTGGCAGTTCGGAAAAAGTGATCTGATTGCAGCTTGCTCTGGCATTTTAGGTAATCAGGACAATGTTTTCTACAGTTTTCAAAGTCCATTTTCTTTATGAAAATATGCAAACAGATATCCTCCTGAATGTATTTTTGGCCATTGCGGTGGACAATCTTGCCGATGCTGAGAGTTTGACATCTGCACAAAAAGAAGAGGAAGAGGAAAAAGAAAGGAAAAAACTAGCTAGGTAAACCCATGTATGTGTGTGTGCATGTGTCTGTGTATGTATGTTTAATTTTAAAAATTAAAATGATTGAGATCAAAAGGCAAAAAGAAGCCATTATAACAGGGATTCATACACATGGCCTATGGACTAGATCCAGCCCATGGAGCCAGTCCATCTGGCTCACTACATTACTGGTGGGCCAGGGAATTTGAGGGCATGGCTACAAAATCTGGGGCCTTGGGCCCCATTGGGTACGGCTCTCATCTGCTGTACATGAGGGGTTTACTATTCCTAGGACTGCCCTGAGCCAAGGGCATTATGGAAGTTATGTTCAAGGGGAATACTGTGTCTTAAGTATTCTCTAGCATACAGGTTAAAGAGTGTCAGCAACTCTGTGAATTAGGAGCCTTCATGACTGCACTAGTACAAGCAGAGAGAAGGAACACAAGGTGATGGGGCTTGCAGGGGGAATCATAGTGTCACAGAAGGGGGAAAGGGCAAAAGTGGCACCCATTTGAGCCAACCAAATGTTCTTCTGATCCTCTTCTCCTTCACAGTTGGTATTCAATAAAGACATTCTCAGCCCTTTCTTCTCACAACCCAAAATTCAGTTCTTTCTTCATCCTGTGACGCCACATGCCATATTTCTCCTGTCTATTCACATGGTGTTTGCGGGTAGTGGGAAAACACTGCTGATTGTGTCTCATTGGCCCTGTCTCCTTCCTAGCTGCTTGTGAAGGAGAGTTGCTTTGATCATTCTGCTTTTCATTCTTCAGGGTCCACACATATCTGGCTAGTAGTCCTATGATTGGTGATCTATTTGCCCTGCTTAAGAGGAGCCTTGACAAGCAGAGAGCTGATCAGCAAGATCCCCCCGGGGGGGAACAATATTGCAGTCTCAGAAGAATGTACAGGTGGCCTAACTCAGCATAACCACCTTGGGGTTGAAAAATTTTCATATAGTATATATCTTTAGGGACTTGGATGAATGAAAATCCCACATGGATATGTTCAAATCCCTAAAGTACACTCCCTCCCC